TATATATATTAAATGGAAGTTAAGCGAGATTAGATAAAGTAAGTTTAATACTTAATTAATGAAAAGGTAAAAAGTTTATTAAAAATTAATTAAATTTTATAGATGTTTAGTTTAGGCTTTTAATTGTTAGAAGGGTCAACATTTTAGAAATTAATCGCCATCGTTATAAGTATTCATGTTCTTATATTATGGTGATATTTTTTTCTAGACCAAATGCATTTATTAGTATTTTCTTTTGTTATATTGTAATTACTGCAAACTTTAGGTTTTTAATTTTAGTGAATTTTGTTCATATTGTAGGAATGATATGTGTGCACAACATTATTTAATTGATTTATAAGTATATTGTATGGAACACAAATGAGAATGAAATATATTTTTAGTAAATAATGATTTTGATAGAGTGGTTGTCTATTGATGATTGACTATGATGAAGTTATCCCTTTATGATACTAGTGAGAGAGCACTAATGTATCCTTGCATGTATATGGAAAAATATATTGATATTGAAGTACCTTAAGTGGTACAATTTTTAGACGGTACTCTTATGACGGTTGTACATACATAAATTGATATTGGTATGTTATTAATATATTAAGATTCATTGAATAACATTTTAATATTTGTATTGATTGATTAAAAGTTTAACTGATATGTATATTACTTTCTTTTCTCTTGTATTGCGATAATATATGAGTATGAGTATTCTCTAGTTTGTTTAGCTCACTGTTATTTTTAACTAATTTTTCAGGTTAATTTAGGTGATTAAAAAATGAATGATAAAAGAGATAATATTTATAGAAGGAGACAACTAGTAGTGAGATAAATTTAAATATACTGCTTTAATTTAATTTGATTAAAGATTTTTTCATTTATAAAAATTTTTGTTACAAAATAAGTTTAACTTCACTGTCCGACTCTCTGTTTCTGGTTTGGTTAATTCTCAGACCCGGGGCTGGTCGTGACATGTTTCAGAAAAGATTTCTTTTATCTAGCCTTCTAAAGAGTATGGAGAGATTGAATGTCTCCTCTGAGGTGGATTTCCTATGGTGTCATTACAGAAGGATGGAACTCCTTTGGATGCCTTTGTTATTAATGTGCTAAATTTCATTTGAAACATAAGGTCTTTCATTTTGCTAGCTCATTTAACTTGACCATAACTAGGTTAAATTCATCTTCTTGACTCTTAAGCTTTTTTTCTTCGCTTATGATCATTTTGATTTTTATGCAAGCTTCTATTCATATTATTCAATATGCCAAAGAAATTTTGATAATTACCTCTTAACATATCAACTTATTTCGTGGTTTGAATGAAAAGCAATATAGTTGATGTGTGCAATGCAACAAAGTGTAGTTCTATCACTGCAGGCAAACCAATATTTTTGGCTGATATCATGAATTTCCGCCGGCAACCACTATTACCGATTGAAATTTAGCGGAAAATAATTTCATGCTAAGATGTTGGTCACAAAGGAATTTGTGTTGGATAATTTCCATTGCTAATGTTTGCGACGATTTTGTCTGATAGTATCCAATGTTGTTAGTCTTGTGACATAAATGATCAGATGTATTAATAACGACTAAACTTGCATTTGATTTTATCTGCCGCACAATTGCATTGGATTTGCGTCGGCTTTTTCAGCCGCAATATAGCTTACTTTTTAGCATGATGTAAATTTCATTAAATTTCTTTTGTGTGTGTGTGTGTTTTTTATGGTTCCATATTTTGTAGTGGAAATATGAGCATGGCTTTTAGTAATATTTTGCTTCATCTATGTTGTGACAGGGATTTTGATGGCTTTGATCTGAGGATGAGGCTCCCTACTGTTGTCAGCCGATTACATAAGGCTATAAAGAATAATGGTGGTGTGACCTATGTGCATTGCACTGCGGGTCTTGGAAGAGCACCTGCTGTTACGGTAACAAGGGCTTTAGAAGTTTATACTTTTTCTTATTTTCTTCTGTATCTCATGATGGAGCTGCTTTAAGGTGTTTGATTTTAAATTCACAGAGTTTCAATTGTCTCTTCTGCTGAAATTGATATTCTTCTGAAGCTTGTTTGAGATTTCTTTTCCTCTACTGAAAATTTTTTCCTATGACTTTATTGCATTTTGTACTAGTTTTAGGTACTTTTGCAACCATTTTGATCTTTAGGAGGCTGAGCAAAGGCTCTGTCATGTTGGAATTATGCACTATATTCAACTTGGCCCAGCGGGGAGTTTGTGTCATTGTTTTATACCTGTCAGTTGGTTTTTGTTCAACTCTTTCTTTTCATGTTCTTAGCAACATATGAAAAGTTAATATATTGAATTACATGAGCGCATTATGCAAAAAATGGTAATCATATGGCATTATGTATTCAGAAAGTAACTTCCAGATTAGCAAGTGCATCATAGCAAACTTTCATAACTCTGTTTTTTCTCAAAAAGTTTGATTGTTATGCATGCGGTAGTTAGGTTGTGATACACCCCGGATCAAAAATCAACGAGCAAATGATATGAAATAAGTGGGAAAACCCAAATTAGGGCTAATTTTATTGATCTCCAAGCAGAACAACAAGATACAAGGTTGATCTACAATTCGAGGGTAGATCATCTCTCCATACAACCTAGACGCGCTAGGAGCAAGACTACAAAGGTAAAGATGCAAGCAAATATAACATAAAGCAAACCCTAGCTACTTGACCTCAATAAATGCCCCCAAGGTTCTCTTAAACTTTCTCTCAAAAATTCCCCACTAATTCTCCTCTTGTACGTGATTAAGGGCTACACAGGCCCCATCCGACAGTTGGAATCATCTCGGGCTGCTTCTAGGGTTTCCTCCCCCCTAAGTTTGAACAGTTGGGTTTGGTCGGTGCAGATTGCTCCCTTCTGAACCAGTGCGTGTGTAAATCCCGGAATAGCTGGCGTAACTAGATGAGCAGACGTATCAACACTTCTCTCCCAAAGAAGCAAATTGTCTTCAAGATGGAATGTTGGAAATTATTTTAGGATCCTTTCATATGGTTCCAACGTTGCTTCATAATTTTACAGATATTTCCACTTAATCAGCACCTCTTTTGGTCCTGCCTCTCCCCGATGCATACCTTCAACCTCCAACGGTTCCAGAACCACCTCCATGTCCTCTGTTTGTGTCGGAGGTTGTGAAGAAGAGGGTGTGTGATCTCCAATAGCACGTCTCTGCTGTTATGTGTGAAAGACTAGATGCAGTGATGATAAAGGAGGTAGTTTCAGACAATATGTCACTGTCTCAATGTCTGTCGTAATCTCGTAAGGTCCAAAATATCGTGGAAAATGTTTCTTGCTACTGGTAAGGTCTCAGCTTCAAGTAAATAATGTCTCTGGGTACAAATGTATCTTCCTCCCATGTCCATCTGTTTTCCTCTTCATGATCTGTTGAGCCCTTAGTAGATGTCCCTTGAGCTTTGCTAATATCCCATCCTTCTACTCCAAATACGGGTCTACATGAGATACCGATGTAGTGCTATGCTCGTAGTATCAGGTGAGGTAGGTCCAACCCATACAAAATCCTTAAATGGGTAGTCTGTGCCACGGTGTGGTACAAAGTATATTACCAATACTTCGCACAAGCAATCTATTTTGCCCATAGCTTCAGCATATGTGAAACAAAACAATGCAGGTAAGTCTTCACACCCCCATTGACCAACTTCATCTGGCCATCTGTCTAGAAATGATACGTTGTGCTCTTCTTTATGATTCTTCTCTATAACCTGAAAAATTCCTTCCGGAAATGGATGAGAAACACCTTGTCCCCGTCTAATATAATAAATTATGGAATACCATTCAAACAAATCACTTCCCGAATGAATATCGCGGCGATTGAGATAACAGTGCAAGGGCGTCGTAATGGAGTAAAATGTGCGTACTTAATCAGGCGATTCACTACCACTAATATCACCGTAAACTCCTCTGACCGCGACAACTTTATAAAATCCATCACCACCTCCCAAACTTTTTTGGGTAAAGCTAGAGGCTGCTTAACCCTCCCGGGCCATAGTCAACTATTTGTCTCATTGGCACACACTGCAATGGTCACCATGTCCTCTACATCTCTGTGCATCCCCACCCAGCATAGCTCTACTAATAGTCGACTGTATGTCTTCTATACCCCCGAGTTTCCCTCAATCGCACTTCCCTGAAACTCCTATAATTTTGTGATATACCTTGATAACACGAGCTGCCCTTGGTAAGTCTATAATTTTGGGATATACCTTGATAACACGAGCTGCCCTTGGTAAGTAGTTACTGCCCCTCAATGTATAATTTGGATGACTGTTTGGATCCTGTAGTAAGTCTGCTCGTATTTTTCTTAACCATTCATTCTACTCGCTCTCCTGTTTCAAGGCTTCCCAATCATGGACCAAGGGTACCGATAATACTGTTAGCTAGGGCTCCTTGCTTAATAGTGCATCTATGACTTTATTCTCCAATCCCGGCTGATACTAAATCTCAAGATCATAGATATCCACCTCTAATGCTCCTCAGTCACCATCATTTGCTCCAAAATATACTTTAAGCTCCTCTGATCTGTCATGACTAGAAAGTGTCACCCAACAGGTAGGGCTGCCACTTCTGAATGGTTAAGGCAATAGCCATCAACTCCCGCTCATATACCGACTAAACCCTTGTCCTAACTTTGAGCACCTGACTGAAGTAGGCAATCAGTCAATGGCCTTACATGAGTACTGCTCCCAGTCCGTATCTTGATGCATCAATTTCTACCACTAATGGTCTACTGAAATCTGGAAGTGTTTATACTGGCACATTGGTCATGACTATCTTTAAATATTCGAAGACTGTGCCCTCCACTTGAAACTATCTTTCTTCAGCTGCTCTGTCAGCAGCCAAGCTATCATACCTTACCCCCTCATGAATTTTCAGTAATATCTGGTGAGACATAGGAATCCTCTTAACTTCTTCAAACTCCTTAGTAAAGGCCAGTCCATCATAGCCTTGATCTTGGACTAGTCCATTGCTACCCTAGTTACCACGTGCCCTAGGTACTCCACCTGTAATTATGCAAATGAACATTTCTTCAATTTAATGTACAACTGATGCTCCCTCAATGTCTCTAAGATTGTTCTTAGGTGCCCCACATGCTATCTTTGTACGACTGTAGACCAAAATGTTATTGAAGAAAACCAGGACGAAGTTTTTAGGTAACACTGAAAAAACCCGATTCATAATAGACTAAATTGTGGCCGGAGTGTTGGTGAGGCTAAACTGCTTATCAAGAACTCGTAACGTCTTTCATGTGTCATGGTGGTATCCTGTTCAAGAAATGACTGCCCCATAAAGCCGAATTCATCTTGATCTAGTGGTTTCTCGACTTAGGATTGATTTTCGAGAAAATGACTATCCCATAAAGCTCATCTCGAAGCTCATAAATTATGGGGATAAGAAACTTGTCCAATATAATTTCCTTGTTCAAAGCCCGGTAGTCAATAAAAAATTTCTTGGTTCAAATTCTCTATCTCAGTCTTCTAAATCTCAAGATACCAGTATGGTTTCATATTGATAGGAGGGACATCCTCCTATAAGGCAATGAAATGCTTATGCTCCCTTGATTCGGTAACCTGTTCGACTGCGGAAAGATGTTGGAAATCTGCTGTAGGAGCTGTTGAACACCTTCAGAGAACTCTTCTTACTAGGGAACTTGAATCTTCTCTATGTTCTGCAACTTCACCAAATAGCTTAACCCTCCTCCCATTATCATTTTGACCATGGTTTTGAGCGAAACCTTGGTTTTTCATAGTCTTGCATCTCCTCTCAGCACCACCTTCCCACCCTCCACCTTGAATTCCATTGCTATGGGTTTCGAGTCCACCTTCGTCTTCCCAAGCATCAACAACCATTTCATCCTTAGATTCACATCAGTGCTGCCTAAGTCTAAGGGAAGAAAGTCCTCCACCACTTGTAGGCCACATAGTGTGAGAACTATCCCCTTGCAAATTTTCCGACATTTCTCCACCTTTCTTGTCCCCATTAGGAACAAAAGATCCTCGTATCTATTGGCTCCAACCCTAGCTTATCCACGACCTGAACTAAGATGACATTATGTGTCTCTCATTGTCCACTAATACCACAACCGGCTGCTTTCTGATCCGTCCCCTCACATTCATAGCGTGATTCAAAGTAAATTCCACCACTGAATTGAGGGATACATCTCTATGTTCGAGTGCAAATGCTCCTCTTCCTCCATCATGTCTTCCTCCGACTCTTCACTATCTGTCTCCTCTCCCTCAAACTAAAAGGACCTGAATCGTGCGCTCATTGCAGCGCTGGCATGGGACATGCTTCTCATCACATCATAATCATAATCCTTTCTTTTCCTTATCCTGAACTTCTGCCTTAATGAGGCGCTTAAAATTGACGCCGGGATGGTCTGTTTTCCTTTCCTTTGGCATCTTTTTTTGAAACGACACCGTCTGGACCCCCGATATCATGGCTATTGAGGAACTCTTGTAGAATCTTTTCGTGGTTCTTCCTTTGTGGACTTAGTCCCCTTTTTTTTGTCTTTCACCATCTTGCTAAGCTCTATCATCTCTTAAATCCCCGTGGTCTTAATACTTGAGGGCTGCTCGGATGTCGGGCTTTGGGCCTATCAACAAGTTCCCCTCCAGTACTGCTACTGAAATACCCCTCACCCATCAGGACAATAACTCGAACCTCTCTCTATATTCAGTGATCGTCAACTTCTTAGTCAAAGGATATAATTACTCTAGTAGTTTGCTTATTCTGAATGGCTTAGAAATGTTTCAATAAACAATCCTTTAACTTCTTCTACGAACGGATTTCTCCATCCTTGGAAAAGATGCTAATGCTTTTCCCTCCAAACATAACTCTACCGCCACGAGCTTCTCTTCTTCAGTTAACCCATTACTGTAAAGTATCTCTCC